TCAGCTAACATTTCAACGAAATAGTTAAAACAATAAAATCTATCAACAAATGGAGCTGTCTTTTTTAATTTCCTGAACGTCTCACACGTGTTTATAATTTCAGGTACTTTTTTATATTATATTAAAAAGATAAATTCATGAGAGAATAATTCAGAGTTTCCTGTTATGATGCAATAGTCAAATTATTACAATGCAGTCTGTAGCGTATTAAAAAAAACATAACCCTGAAAAACCCCTTAATAACGTCACAATAATTTAGGTTTTTGCTTTTTTAGGGTGACCAGTTCAAATATCAATTGTTGTGTGTGTGTGTGTGTATGTATATATATATAAATCAATTTTTTTCACATTAACCCCTTCTCAACTAATATGTGTATATATAGGTTGGGTTTGGTTCTTTGCATTTTTCCAGTGTAAACTATAAGGAATACTCTTACCCCAAACAACTTGTTTTCTGAAGTCAGTATGGATGCAGGAGTTCTTGCGTGCGATCTTACTTTCAGGGATTAACCTTTTTTGAAGAGTTTAACCCCAAAGTTGCACCCAGTGCCCATCGGCACTGCCCCACTCAGTCCTCTTCAAGTCACTATAGTGGTCAGGTAGGTTTTGTCTTGCATGCTGGGAACAGGCTTACGCAGAGATGACTGGCGCCCAGGGAAACACCTTTGGAGTTAAACTATTCAAAAATGATTAAACCCTCAAAGGTAAGATGGTGCCTAGTGACTCCAGCCACCATAAAGACTACATTGGGATGAAGTTGGTATGGGGGCTGGAGTCAGTTAGGAGTATTTCTATTACTTATGATTGCCTTCGTTACTGCATTTGTCTTTGCAGGAACTCATATCTCTGCCTTATTTTTTTTAAACTTTGCACATTTATTAAAAAGGACAAAAACTGCAATGTCTCATTGACATAAGTATTTAGACCTTTTGCTATAACACTTGAAATGTAACCCAGATGCATTTTAGTTCTCTGGATTATCTTTGAAATGTTTATACATTTTGATTGGAAATGTCCACCTGTCACAAATGCTAATAATTGGACATTATTTGGATAGGCATACACCTGTCTATATAAGGTCTCACAGCTATAAATGCATATTAGAGCATAAACCAGGTCATGAGGTCAACGGAACGGCATGCAGAGCTCAGAAACAAAATTGTGTTAAGTCACAGATCTGGGGTAGGCTACAAACAGTTTGGCTGCATTCAAGGTACGAAGGAACACAGTGCCCTCCATAACTCTTAAATGGAATAAGTTTGGACCAACCAGAAGTCTTTCAAGAGCTGGTCATCTGGCCAAAGTGAGCAATCAGGGTGAATCACCTTGATGAGAGAGGTGAGAGAGGTGACCAGATTGTCACTCTTCTTCCAGAGATTATGTTTGGAGATGGGGGGGGGGGGGTGATTGCAGAAGGACAACCATCACAACACTACAACACTCCACCAATCTGGATTTTATGGCTCTGTGAGAAAGGGCTCTGTGAGAAACAATATTCTCTGGTGTGATTATTTGAATATTGAACTGTTTGACCTCAATTCAAACTATCCCATGTGGACGAAACCAACCACCACTCATCCCAACAGTAAAACATGGTGGTTGTCACATTATATATTTGTGTTTTTCAGTGGCAGGGACTGTGATACTAGTTAGGTTTGAGGAAAATGCCACAAAATAAAGAGATATTCTTAATGAAATTTTGGTGCAGAATGCTCAGAGAATGCTCAGGACCTCAGACTGGGCAAAAGGTTCATCTTCTTAAAGGAAAATGATATTAAGCACACAGCTTAGGAACTGTTAGAGTGGCTTAGGGAAAATTCTATGAATGCCCGAAAAGTAACACTATAAGTGCCAAAACAACTTTAGCTTAATGGAGTGGTTTTGGTGTATAGATTGTGCACCTGCAGTCTCACTGCTCAATTCTCTGGCATTTATGAGATAAAGGAGAAATGGGTAGGGTGGCATAAAGAAGAACAAAAGTGACAAACTGAAAGAATGGGATGGAAAGACCAGTCACTTATAGTGAATGGGATTCAATCACATTCCAAAAATACTTCCTAGAATAAACGTTACAAAAATATATGGTAATAACCTTTATTAACTAAACATATATAAGCAATCTACCCAAAATAAATATACAAAAAATGTGTGAAAATGGTGATGAAGTAAGGGTAAAGAAAATCTTAAAAGATACCTGGGACAATGCTCCTAAACCTCATACAAGCATTATTGTATACAGATTGTAGAGTACACTATGGTGAATCATATATAGCCTCAGAGAGGTCAAGGTAAAACCATAGAAATCTACAATATATAAACAAATATAAATGAGGGAAGGAGCAAGTGTTTTAGACTGATCCACATAGAACTGGTAAAATATACCATATAGCGCTAATAACAACAAGATCGGTTGGTAGTGTTGCTGAGATCGTAGGTGCCCGGTAGTGGGTAAAATGGCAATATAATAAAGGGACTTGACTGTAGTCACTATCAGGGGTGCCCCCCAAAAATACTCGAGTAGCTCATATTTACAAAGCAAAGCCACAAAGGAACGTGGACGAATACTAGTAAAATGTAACTGTCCCTGCTAATAAACCTCTCTGAAAATAATTAGTCCCGCTTAGTAAAAGTAGATGGAAGTTTCAGTAAAAATGTAAATCCAAATCTAAAGTCCATATAAAACGGAACAAAAGCAGTGACTAAGTCACACAAATAAAATCAAGAGGAGCCCCCTCCAAACTCTATGACTGGAGAGGACAACAGGAAATACCCTGGACTAACTTTCTAGCCCACAAATAGGCCAAATCAATTAACTGCTACTTCAAGGCAGCCTAATAATATCCCTATAAATATATATCAGCACATAGTGGAAGAAAATAATAAAGGCATCAGTCACATCCCGGTATAAAACAAAAAAAGAAAATTAAGAAAAGCTTAATAAAAGTAAATGCATTGGCAAAATGCTCGACGCGCGTTTCGGCGTTTCCATACGCCTTTGTCAAGAGCTAAAAAGTAACTGAGCTAGGAGCCGGTTATAAGGGAGTGTGGCGACTCCCCTCAGAAATTCCTGCACCAATCCATGGGTGTTATCCATCAATGAATTAGTCATCATCTGTGCTGTATTCTCCTCCTATATCTCTATGTCAATCAAGTAAAAAGTAGGTGTGGTAATGTTGCGTTTCGTCCCGTGGGTGGGAGGAGAATGTGTTCATTCATTCTATACAGTGACACGGAGGTCTTATTTTAACCGATACATGGATACACACTATGTATCCAAATGCCAGTCTAGTATATATAAAACTGCTTTATTTAGCTAAAGTAATTGACTATAGTGTTCCTTTAATATTTAAAGGACCACTATAGTGCCAGGAAAACATACTCGTTTTCCTGGCACTATAGTGCCCTGAGGGTGCCCCCACCCCCAGGGACCCCCTCCCGCCCTGCTCTGGAAAGGGGTTAAAACTTACCTTTTTCCAGCACTGGGCGGGGAGCGCTCCTCCTCTGATCCTCCTCTTCTCCTCCCCGTCGGCTGAATGCGCACGCGCGGCAAGAGCTGCGCGCGCATTCAGCCGGTCACATAGCAAAGCATTCATAATGCTTTCCTATGGATGCTGGCGTGCTCTCACTGTGAAAATCACAGTGAGAAGCACGCAAGCGCCTCTAGTGGCTGTCAGTGAGACAGCCACTAGAGGAAATAGGGGAAGGCTTAACCCATTCATAAACATAGCAGTTTCTCTGAAACTGCTATGTTTATGAAAAAATGGGTTAACTCTAGCTGGACCTGGCACCCAGACCACTTCATTAAGCTGAAGTGGTCTGGGTGCCTAGAGTGGTCCTTTAACACAGAGGACATGGCCAAAGTTAGGAACATAGTTGGTCTTACTGAATTGCTTAGATGTTCTGAAGAGTTTAAATAGTATATATAGTAAATATTGTAAAAAGTTCAATAATGCAATGTGATTGTACTTGTATGTATATTTTAAGGTAATTGTTACATGATTTGACATTTGAGCATAGTTTTCTTATGTGTGTAAATCATTAAAATTATTAATTATTTTAATTGTTTTCCAATTAAGTTCCATTTGTATATAGTTATATGTCCTGCTAAGGCATGTTGATTGTAAACAAATGTTAAGTTTCCCATGATTCATTGTTCCCACAATTTGCATTATAACTCATTGCTGAGAATTGATTACCAATGCTTTTCTTCTGTGAAAAAAATACTTAAAAGAACACTCTGAGCACCATAACCATTACAGTATGCTGTAGTGTGTATATTCAGGGAGCCCATTGTATGTAGTCAAGCTGTTTTAGAATGGTTTGACCTTTACTTGGGGTCTGCTTGGGCACTGCTCCCTGCCTCCTCTCTACAGCTTAGGAGCTCCTATTAAACAAATGCTTCCACTGGGACATTTTGCAAATTAACTAGAAATATGACTTCCACTTTCTTCACTGTCCATGAGTCTTTATGCATTAAAATATATTGGCTGCATTCTATCAGATTGGCAGGCATACTACCATTACTTAACAATACTTTAATGCTAACTGCATTGAACAACTGGATATTAACCCCTTAAGCAGGGCCGTCTTTAACGCGGGGCAAACGGTGCAGCTGCCCCGGGCCCACTTGCTCCTGGGGGCCCCGCGATTTGCGCAGGCCCTGCGGTGCGGCTCCCGCACACTGAGGAGGCTCCCCGGGTGGCCCATGCACTAAGGGCCACCCGGGGAGCATGTGTCAGCAGGGGCCCGGTCGGGCGCTGTGGCGCTTAAACAGCGCGACCGGGCCCCTCTTCCGGTTCTGCAGCCGGCTGGGAGGAAGTGACGTCACTTCCTCCCACCGGAGATGGCCGCGTGGGAGGAGGAAGGCAGGGAGGAGGGGAGTTCCAGAGGAGAACTCCCATCTGCCTCAGCCTGCCACTGGACCAGGGAAACCACCCTCCAGGAAAAGGTAAGAACCTGGAGGGTGGAAAAATGTATGTCAGTAGGTCTGTCTGTGTGTGTATGTCTGTGTGTATGCCAGTATGTCTGTGTGTGTGTGTGTCAGTGTGTGTGTGTGTGTGTGTGTGTGTGTCAGTATGTCTGTGTGTGTATGCCAGTATGTCTGTGTGTGTGTGTGTGTCAGTATGTCTGTGTGTATGCCAGTATATCTGTGTGTGTGTGTCAGTGTGTGTGTGTGTGTCAGTATGACTGTGTGTGTATGCCAGTATGTCTGTGTGTATGCCAGTATGTCTGTGTGTATGCCAGTATGTCTGTGTGTGTGTGTGTGTCAGTATGTCTGTGTGTATGCCAGTATGTCTGTGTGTGTGTGTGTGTGAGTATGTCTGTGTGTATGCCAGTATGTCTGTGTGTGTGTGTGTGTGTGTGTGTGTGTGTGTGTGTGTGTGTGTGTGTGTGTGTGTGTGTGTGTGTGTGTGTGTGTGTATGTCTGTGTATGTCTGTGTGTGTGTGTGTGTCAGTATGTCTGTGTGTATGCCAGTATGTCTGTGTGTGTGTGTATGTAGGTATGTCTCTGTGTGTGTGTGTACGTGTGTGTCAGTATGTCTGCCAGGATATATTTGTGTGTCAGTGTATGTGTGTGTCAGTATGTATCTGTGAATGTTTTAATGTCTGTCTGTATGTGCCAGTACGTCTGTCTGTGTGTATGTCAGTATGTCTGTGTGTGTCAGTAAGTATGTCTGTGTGTGTATGCGTGTCAGTCAGTATGTCTGTCAGTGTATGTGTCTGTGTGTGTAAGTATGTATGTCTGTGTGTCAGTATGTCTGCCAGGATATATTTGTATGTCAGTGTATGTGTGTGTCAGTATATATCTGTGAATGTTTTAATGTCTGTCTGTATCAGCCATTACGTCTGTCTGTGTATATGTCAGTATTCCTGTGTGTGTGTGTCAGTGTGTGTCAATGTGTCTGTCAGTGTATGTGTCTGTGTGTTTTAGTATATCTGTCAGTGTATGTGTTTGTGTGTGTGTCAGTATATCTGTTAATGTATGTGTCTGTGTATGTGTATGTATGTATGTCTGTGTGTGTGTCAGTATGTCTGCCAGTATATATTTGTGTGTAGTGACTTTGTGTGTCAGTATGTATCTGTGAATGTTTTAATGTCTGTCTGTGTGTGTGTATGTGCCAGTACGTCTGTCAGTGTGATTGCGGGTTGGACGTAATTGGGGGGTGAGGCAGTGGCAGGGACAGGGCCCATGGGGCCCAAGAAAATGCATTGCCCAGGGTCCTAATCATATTATAGACGGCCCTGCCCTTAAGGACTGAGCCAATTGTACAAGTTGTAAAAAAACAAAACCTTGAATTTGCGCTATATGTCTATATAATTTTTTGGGGGGTTCTAATTTTATTTAGAAATTTACCAGTAGCTGCTGCATTTCCCACCCTAGTATTATACTCGAGTCAATAAGTTTTCCCAGTTTTTTGGGGTAAAATTAGGGGTCTCGACTTATATTCGGGTCGTCTTGTACTCGAGTATATACAGTAATTGTTTTTCTTTAAATTTTTTTAAATTTATTTATTGATTATTTTTATTATATATATATATATAATGACATTCTCAATGTATTTTAATATTAATATATATTTATAATTATATATTAATATTAAAATACACTTTTATTAATGATGTTTGTATGTGTATATAAAGGTACTTAGATCTATCTTTATATTTAATTTAAAAACTGTTTAATAACTTTTAGAAACGTTTTTGCAGGCATTAAGGGGACTGCCTGAAGGCTCAGACAGGCCCCCTGCAGGCACAGCCCAAGCCGGTTATTCTGGCCATGTGATCACGAGGACCCTGCGATCACATGGCCAGGGAGTGGGGGCCAGATCAGGCAGAGGGGTCTGCCTGAGCTCCCAGGCAGACCCCAGGATCGCTACCGCCGTCAGGGGAACGGCGGGGACCCAGTAAATACAAAGGATTGCGTGGACATTCTATGCCGCCAGCCGGTGTTTAGGACTGCCTAAAAAAGGACAACATGCCCGCCATCCTTAAGAGGTTAATATTCATTCAAATCAGGATTCTTTTTGCTTATTGGGTTATCCAGTTAACTGTACTTATTTGTTTACATATAAAATATTCACTAATCTATATATATATATATATATATATATATATATATATATATATATATACACACACATACACCCTGTTCCAAATTATTATGCAAATTCTATTTAAGTATCACAAAGATTAAATATTTTGTTTTTCAGTTTAACTCATGGATGGCATTGTGTCTCAGGGCTCTTTTGATCACTGAAAACAATCTCGGACACCTGATAATTAGATTGCCAGGTGAGCCCAATTTAAGGAAAAACTACTAAAGGAGGGTGTTCCACATTATTAAGCAGAGCACCATTTTCATACAATATGGGGAAGAAAAAGGATCTCTCTGTTGCCGGAAAGAGTGAAATAGCTCAATGCCTTGGACGAGGTATGAAAACAGAAATTTCATGAAAACTTAAGCGTGATCATTGCACTATTAAGAGATTTGTGGCTGATTCAGAGCACAGACGGGTTCGTGCAGATAAAAGCACATTTAGGAAGATTTCTGCCAGATCCATGCATCGGATCAAGAGAGCAGCTGCTAAAATACCATTACATAGCAGCAAACAGATATTTGAAGCTGGTGGTGCCTCTGGAGTCCCACGGACATCAAGGTGTAGAGTCCTCCAGAGTCTTGCAACTGTGCATAAACCTTCTATTCGGCCACCACTAACCAATGCTCACAAGCAGAAACGGCTGCATTGAGCAGAAAAATACATGAAAACTAATTTTCAAACAGTCCTGTTCACTGATGAGTGCAGTGCAACCCTGGATGGTCCAGATGGATGGAGTAGTGGATGCTTGGTGGATGGCCACCCTGTTCCAACAAGGCTGTATATATATATATATATATATATATATATATATATATAAATATATATATATGTGTGTGTGTGTATAGAAAATATACACTAATATATATATTATATATATATATATAATGTCAAAATACCAGAGTATTACAGTATGCAATGATAACTTTTTATTGGACTAACATAATATTTCAAAGAAAAGCTTTCGAGAGTTTTCCCTCTCTTCCTACACATATATATGAATGAACTAGTTATACGGACCAGGTTTCAAATAAATGTTTCCATATTTTTTTTAAACAATTCTGTAATGAAGTGTAATGATAATTTTTGTATATTTTATATAATAGTCTGCCATGTAGAGGCAAACTGCAGAATACGATAAACTGAAATGTATATACAGAAGGCAAAAACAGCCATTCTAATCATTATTTTAATTCAGAAGAACAGTTGGTAACTGATACATAAACTCTTAGTGTTTCAGAGTACAGCATGACACCGTTATTGACACAAGATAGAACCAAAAAGTGACAGCTAATTAGTGATGTGGAATGGACCAACCACCCAGCTGGTGCTTAGAAAGAGAGGACATTCATAATATGGGTACCTACGGGAACAGTTGTGGAGGGAAGTACAGAGTCCTCTGGGTGCTTTAAAAGGAGGTCAAGCAGACCATAAGATAATGTTGTGTAACAGGGAAGTTAGGGAAATAATACACACGTATATCTGTTATGAAAAGGGAAAACATCTGGATGTTGTTAATGTTCTCTGGCCATTTTGACATCCATGAAAAAAATGGTATACATGCAGACTTCATGAACACTTTCTTAATAATTTCAGCTTGAGAATAACAGGCAGTTATGTGTAGCAACTCCTATGTTTATTCCCAAAGATCTGACACTTTGAAACCTCTCTGCTAACACTCCATGCCCTCTGAGGTTGGAATGACCACAGTCATTGTACAAGCACATTGCCATTCTGGTAAAAAAAAAAAATATGTTTTTTGTTTAGCTAGAGCATTTCATACCTATCATTGTAACTTACATTTCAAGAGGAGATTTAACAGAGAGGAAGTATTTTAGATTTACATGTTAGTAACTAGAGACGGATGAGAGAGTTTTCCTAGAAACCAAACAAATCTGCAAGAACCCAGAAGAAATTAGTCCAATATGAGTAGAAGTTTGTACAAACCAAAATAAAAATGATAAAATAAAATAATACAAAACAGAAAAAAATTGCTTTTAGTCTCAAATTGAGCAGTGGTGCATTGTCTACCCCTGAAACGAATTGGATGTGAATAAAAAAAGCCTCTATTTAAGGATTATGTCCCAAACATTTTTATTGTCAACAGTTTGATCATTAAAGCTCATTCATGGATTACATTTAATTGGTAAGGTTAGAGATACTTAATGACTTATTGACAACCACTTCATTAAATGTAAGTATTGACATTTAGAATAATTAGTGATACATACTATTTCACTGTCTGGCAAACACACATAACATGTTGTATGCTGTCTGCTCCTCAGTGGATTTTCAAATCACTGCACAAATTCAATTATTTTAAAGTATCCCATAATATCTAAGGCTTGCAGTCTTAGCTAACATAGTCTACTTTCTTGTGCAGAGGCATAGTAAAAATACATAAGTTAAAGTAGTCCATACCTTGTCCACTGTTTTAAAAAGAAATATATCAGAAATGAAGAAAAGAAGATGAAGAAAAGAAGAACAGATTCTGAAACAGGAATAGAATATGAAAAAAGTACGTTTGCAGTGACGGAGCCCCTTAATGGAAATGTACAAATGAAACCTTATCGTAAATAAATAAATGTTAATGGTTGAAACCTCCTTCTGACAATATATCTATATATTATTTATATTTCTTTATTTGGTGGGGGATTGTCCCAAAATACCCCTATGTATCTGAGATGTGTATGTAATAGTTTTACTGGGCCAGTGCTCAAATTTTAGTATAGGGAAATTAGCCAACCCTTCCACAGTGAAGATACAATGGCCAACATTTTCAGAATGGAGAGAAACATTTTGTTAGTTAACAAACAGGGGAACACAGGGATGAAGATTCGCATAAAGGACCATATTTTACTACATTTGTCTGAATTTCATGTTGATAAATCTTCCTGGAATTTATAGAATCATTTCCATTGGGAGATGTAAGTGCCACAATGGAGACTGTCCAGACTGTTAAAAGTGATCTATTAATGTGATGACACTTGACAAAATTATGTAAAAGTAGCATGGTTCATGATTTGAGATGTTTACATTAAAAGTGATAAAACTAGTGATGTATGAACTGTTTTTCATTTATCACCATTGGGAATATGGGATTCTCTCAGTAATATCAAGCAGAGCCATATCAATCAGTATTAAGTCCACCATGCAGAGATAGCTCACACTTTAGGAATATTAATGAAAAGCATAAAGGCAATCAATAATCACCAAGCAATATGTTATTAAATACTACATGTATCACTGGTGTCACTGGTCTGATCACTGGTCTGAAGCCTTAACCAGTGCCTGTCCTGGGACTCAATGCTTTAAAGGCTTGAGCCTGACACATGCCTCAAATGTATGCCTTAATATGAAGAATTTATCACCCTTTAAAAACACCAAATATAGTTTGTTCAAAACTTACCACTTTTTGTCAAATTTTCACACTGCATTCTCAATACACTTTCTCATTAAAAGCTTATGTGAGGGAAAGGGCTCTAGTGCGAGGGAATGAGTTTATAAGCTGTCAATGTGTCTGATCCCACACTACAGAGAATGGGAAGCTGCCCTGT